GTTTTCCTCTCCACTGTCGCTTTATGCTTGCTTAGTATGAGGATTGCTGTATAGTCACTGACACTAGTCAGTGACTCGATGCAATTTGCTGGGTTCCTTATATAGGAAACATTATTTCTGATTGGCTTAATGAACTGACCTGAAATGGAATGTTTATTATGTGAAGTGCCTTGAGACGACTCTTGTCGTGATTTGGCGCTTTATAAATAAAATTGAATTGAACTGAATTGAATTACTCAAGTTGAAAATGAATGCAACCTAGCTGTTGAACCACCACCAATTCCCAGCTGGAGGCCACTTGGAGGCTTTGAAAAGGTGGTTTAAAATAAGGGGGATGAATTCAGATCACAGGAGGGAATTATGGATTTTCAGCTGGGTGTGTTTGCCTTTCTCATGTTGTTGGGACATAAATCTGCTCACACAGTGCAGTGATCTGATTTTCCTCTGGGAACAAAAAGCTGAACCCTCTAAAAATAAATTATTAAAGAATCTGCTTAGAATTAGGATTCATTTTGAGGTTTAGGAAGGTAAGCTGTAGTAATGGTGACGACTAAAGGGAATCTGAGTCTTATGAATCCAAGTGATGCAAACATTACTGTGTGTATGTTTGTGCTACAAATTTGTTTGCACAATGCTTGAATAACACTGCTCTTGTGCACCATCATTAGAGCAAGGTCAGTGTAACACTGGCAACACCACTTCATAAATTATGTAAAGAGATACATGAATTAGACTTTGTAATTGCACCTTCCTACTACACCACGAGCGCAGATTGCACGCTTGTATGTATGTATGCATTTTTATCATCTTTAATTAGTTCCAAGAGAACAGATGTGGTGATTAAAGTGTTGTGTTGGTCTGAACTGGGAATAGAAGAGGCAGCACTGGACCCAGACAGTCGTGGTTACGTTTAAATCTGTGTTACTTTGGATTTGCATGTAAATTTACATAAAAAGGGAAGAAAAACACAAAAACAGGAGAAACAGAAGAGAACCAAGCATTTGAAAATGTGAATGAAGAACAGCAAAACACATCTGGATATTGTCCTGGTGTGTCTGGTAATGGGATGTTGGATATAAATCCTTTGGACCTTGTGGACTTAGAGAAAATTTCTGCGAATTGGGCTCGATTCACACAGATGCCTCCTGAGCCCATCAAATCCAGAAAGTGTGGAAGCTCGGAACACCTCAGACTTTTGCTGTATTTGTTTTAGCCAAATTTAAGCAGTTTTTTTTAAGGGCTTCATTGTAGCCCTACTGAGAGAGAACTGCTGCTGCAGGGGAGTGCTTTTCCCACCATAAAAAGAGAGGCAAGAGAGGCCGGCTTTTAAAAATATTTAAGCAGAATTCATGGTTTTAGAGCAGGGGTGTCAAACATGCGGCCCGCGGGCCGAATCCGGCCCGCAAGCGGGTTTAATCCGGCCCGCGAGATGGTTGTGTAAACTTTGTTTTCATACTTTACAATGTAGAGTGAAAATAAACTTATCTTTGTGAGCAAGTTTTCTCTGTAACGAGTATAAATAAAACAAAGCTGCGCTCAAGGCTCACACAAGAACTTGAATCACATCCTGAAGTTGGCCGCCACTCAGGATGTGACTTCTGATGTTGATGTGCTGGTGAAAGCTAAAAGATGTAAAGTAAAATGAGTCAAATATACTTTAAGTGCTGCATGAAACTGATCTAGCCATGTGATCTGTAAGCTCTTTGAATCACTAAGGAATGTTTATTTTATTTGTTGATTTTTTGTTTTTTTCAAAATTTCAAGTAAACTTCAGGTGTTGTACTTGTACTACACTGTCCTCAGGCTCCAGCCTCGTTTTATATTGATTGTATTAAAACAAAGAAAACAATCTGAAGTTTTTGTTTTTTTTACCGGTCCGGCCCACTTGGGACTAGATTTCCCTCAATGTGGCCCCTGAGCTAAAATGAGTTTGACACCCCTGTTTTAGAGTCTCCTTGACCACAAGACTTGTGTGACAAAAAAGTTTTGATCTTTGTTAGCCCGGGACCCTACGTTGTCTGTATGCAGCCCCAGATGTTTTGACCTTGCAGAAGAATTGTGCTTTTTTTTTAAATCATTATTATTATTTTCCCCGTCTCCTGTCAGTCTGTCCAGATGAATTGTGCTTACAAAGCTTGTGGTAAGACAAACTACCTCTTGCAAAAGTGGTGCCTAAAGCCTGAGTCATGCTTCTCCGTCTGCGTCAGTGCAGACACACGCAGCGCCATTATCCGTCCTTGCGGGCCTGCTGGAGAGATCCGCAAGGACGGACGGAGTCGAGCTCTCTTTTCGAAACATCCGTCAGTCGAGACGGACAACGCAAGCTTGTGGTTGGTCAGGGCACCGCTGTCGTCTACAACGCCGCCATTGCGCCCTCAAAAACATGAAGAGAGCCGGGGATAACAAGCGGCAGACACGGAGCAGCTTGAAGAATCCCTCGCGAAAAAACTCTAAAAACATGAACGTTTAATTCCCCGTGACTGGAGGAGTGAAAAGATGCGCAGCAAGCGTTTTATTTGTGGACGGAAATGACAGGAAACGTGGGTTTAGAGGTGGCGAGCGCATTGAGAGAAAACACAATATAAACACACTATCTTGGACTGGATGCATGACAAGATACCACAGAACAGCGCTACGCCCTCTGCTGTCCTGGTGGGGAATTGCTTTGCGACGCTGAGAGCAAAATATCTCCGTTTGTGCGTGCGTGTCTCTCCCTTTTGGAGCTGACGGAGAAGCATGAATCAGGCTTAACTCTCTCTCTCACACACACACACACACACACACACACACACACACACACACACACACAGAGGGGGAAAGAGAGAGAGAGAGAGAGAGAGAGAGAGAGAGAAGAAGAAAATATCATTTCTAAAGCGCCTCTCAAGATAAAAATCACGAGGCGCTTCACAAAAACAAAAAATTTTAAAAATATAAAAAGATTTTGGAAAATGGTTAAAATATATTTAAAATGAGCAAAAAATAGACAATTGTGATTTAAAAAAATGTTAAAGAGAGAGTGAATAGGAAAGAGGGAAATCAGTGGATCCTGAGGGCAGAATAAAGAGAAAGTGGTTGAAGAAGGTCATACAAAAGCCAGCTTGAACAAGTGAGTTCACACACACACACACACACACACACACACACACACACAAGTGACGACAAACAAAAAGGAAAAGAAGAATATTTGCTTTGAGGAGATTCACTGGTAACTCAATTTGTACAATTTATCAACCAAGTCAATTCTACAGGGACACAAAAACTGCACTAGGTTCTAGGTTCCTGGTGAACAAAAGGTAAACGTATTTACTTTTGTAAATTTTGTTGACAAAATAAAATGATCTCCAGCTACTGGACTGGATTGTGAAACTGTAGACCCATGAGCCAAGCAGTCTGGCACCACTGGTTCAGAACAACTATGACTACTGGCATGTAAATGTCAGCAAAGTCCCAGTGGTGCTGCACACACATCAAGCATGAAGAAGCCTTTAAGTTGGTGGAAAATGTCAGTACAATACCCAAGTAAATGCCAGGATGCACATACTTTATCCTAGCAGAAGAAAATGGTGAGCGGTGTGAGTCACTGTACCTGTTGGTGGTCTTTATCTTATGTCTGATAGGTGCATGTATGAATAAGCACGACTGAATGGCTGATGTTTATGAAGCGTGTCGGACAGTGAGTGTATTTTAGTGTTGCATTAATCATATTCGTCGCCATTGGGTCAGCCACAGTTTACGCTGCCACCTCCAATCCGGCGCCTGTGCCTTTAACAGCACATGCTTTTTGGCTGCTACGCTAATGACATTTAGCACAGACCGGTGGGGACTGCATGTCATTCCAATTAGAGGAAGCTCTCCACTGTATGGCTAACTATTAACCTACCATCCAACTCTTCCCTGCAAATTTGGGGATGCATTATTGAAAAGGGCAGAGCTGAGCACCTTGATGGGGCTGGCAGATTTGGCTGGCTGAATGGTCAAACCGACACAGTTCAGAGAGAAGTAAAAAAGAAAATGGCTATCTGAGCTGCTCAGAGCAAAGCTGGGTTGATGGCTTTGTGGGGTGTCTGGACTGAATAGAAAAAACAACTAAGCTGGAGGGTATGCTAGTCTACTCTTATCCAAACTCACTCTTTCAATGGCAGACATGTTTTATAGATACACCAATAAAGTCGTAGGAATTTTTTTCTATTTTGAAAACAAATATGAAACCACATTGGTCCAAGAGGTGAAGAGCCACCTGAGTGAAACAAGTAGAACTCCATGTTCTTCTACTGGACACACAGATGAGCAACGTTAAAGATCCCAAGATGTAAACAAGGGGTCTTATTATTCATAACTAACCTTTGCATCCTTATGTGCTGCCATGTGGGTCTCTACTGCCTCTATAAACACCCCAAACGTGAAATAAATCCATCCATTCTTTTTCTGCCAGTGTTTGATTTTAGGATTTATGTGCCTAAAAAAAATCTGTTTCAAAAAGTCCCTTTTGTGATGTCACAAATGGGAAAATTAGCATAGAACCACCTCTCACGTGCAAGAGAGAGCTGCAGGTGAAGGAGCAGCGGCTCCTCTCAAATCCCTCCTAGATATCGGAGCTTCTCAGCTTCTAGCAGCCTGAGCAGAGGACGAGTGAGCGTGGCGAGCTCCTGAAACAGCTTATTTTGGAAGGTACTGAAAATGTCAACAATAAAACTGCTGAAATTGCTTTAAGTGAGAGGGATTTTCTGCAAAGAACTTCGTTAACATGTTTTTTGTTTATACCATAGAACTATTAGACTTAAGAAAAATGTCATAATATGTCCCCTTTAAAGTTTGAGTCTCTGAGTATAATAAAATAGCGGTCCTAGCACTAGTGAAAATGATTCCCTGCACTATTGTGGAGACTGATCCAACAACTGTGATACCACAGATTTAATAACGAAAGCCAGAAAAAATGTTATGCAAAAGTAAAAGTTCATCTTTTAGTAGAACTACCACCAGCAATTCAGAAATGCACCAATCAAGTTGGTCACATCCCAAGATCACACGCAGTAAACTGCATCATGTAGTGACAGATTGTAGGGAATGATTTAGCAGCTCTTTCCTTTCTAAATTCTGCAGGAAACTGGTCTACGCATCACAAACTCAAGTTGGCTAACATGTTCCAGCTCTGTCAATACCTCCCTTGGCAGCTCAGAGGCTTAACAGCAGTGGGTCGTCTTCATACCGCCCTCATCCAGCCTCGATGCTTTCATAAAGCACATCAGAAACGTAAGAAGGCGTCTCAAGCCCAGCTTGAAACTGTTTTGCAAAAATGACTGTAGTCAATGTCACTGAGCACACTGAATAATCCGATTAGAAAAAGTTGTATTTTACTTGTTGGTTCCACAAATAATAACAAATCATGGCACGATAAATAAAGCAAATATTTAGATGTGAATGGCACGAGTTCAAAATCGCTGCAGGAGAGTAAAAATTGGATTTAAATAACCTCAAATTTAGTAGCAATGAATAGTTCAGAGAAAAAAGTTATAATTCAGCTGAAAGGCTAAACTGACACAACTGAAAGTGAGTAAACATGTTATTTTTATTTAAAAAGGCAGGAAACAGAGAAGAAAACACCACATCTATGAATTCTTAAGCATTTTATTTATTTATTTCTCCCTTTGAGGCATTTGCTTAAATTACCTAATTTTCATTTTAGTTTTTTTTTTTGTAAGATTTCAAAAGCTTTTCTTCAAATAAACTGACAGCTGAACAAAAAAAACCTACTTCAGAGGCTGGAATATAAACCGTTCGGTGCTGTTCTTGCTCTTAAACGTGCACAAGAATCTTTTTCATGTGTGGGAGAAATAAAAAGATACGATGCATCTGACTGAAGGTGCTGATGACAGAACAATACAGGATTCTGTTTCTCAAGACCCTGACCTACCTAATTGGTTTTATAAGCATTTAAATGAACCAACCACCAAAGATGAAGCTGTCAAACTGGACGCTTTTACATTCAGGTTGAGTTTCTTCTATTGTTTATAACTGACAAGAAACTTTCTCAAATACCCTTTTCAGAAGGGAATCTAGACACATTTATGCAAACATGCATATGTATGCCATGGAGGACGACTCTCTGGTGGTCGTGCGTGCTTCCTTTGAAAGCACACCGACACAGATGCAGAGCACAGACTCGGTGCATCTGAAGTCAGCCAGCACACCCTTACGCAGCAAAGAGAATATATGACCAAAGCAGACGGCTTCAGCATGTCTGCGTCTCAGTATTTGGAATGGAAAGGGAAAATGTAGGTGGACGGTGCATGTTTGCATTTCAAAAGAGATGGGACAGATTTCGTGTGTGTGCTGGTTTGACTTTGTGTGCTCAAAGCCTTTGTATCGTTGCAGATGCTGCTGTACTGTTCTGACAGTGCATAAGTTCAAACACTGAAGCAAGTTCAGTGATTTTTGATGCACACGAGGCAGAAAAGACTCACGCTTATGAAGAATGATGTAAGAATGTAATATAACCAAAAGGAAAGTCAGTATGCAATCTTACTAATTAAATTAGGCTAAATAAGTGTCAAGCAGGTTTAAGTAAGTAAGTAAGTAAAACTTTATTTATATAGCACTTTTCACAGATAAAATCACAAAGTGCTTCACAACATACATAAAAAGGCAAAACAGGACAGGAGCACAAGGTCAACTTACATAAAAGCTTGTCTAAATAAAAGTGTCTTCAGCTGCTTTTTAAAAGAATCAACAGTCGACCACATGAAGAAACAAGGGCCGGGCGTTCCAAAGTCTGGGAGCTACAGCTTGAAAGGACAGGTGCCCTCTAGTTTTAAATCTGGTCTTAGGGGCCAGACCCGAGGACCGTAGAGTGCGCCAGAAGAGTGAGGGATTAAAAGGTCTGATAAATATTGTGGAGCTTGTCCATTAAGAGCTCTAAAAGTCTAAACTAAAATTTTAAAATCAATTCTAAACTTGACCGGTAGCCAATGTAAAGAGGATAAAACCGGTGTTATGTGAGCCCTTCCATTGGTTCCTGTTAAAAGCCTTGCTGCAGCGTTCTGGACCAACTGGAGACGACTGACATCTGATTTGTTAAAACAAGTAAAGATAGAATTACAATAATCTCAACGAAAAGAAATAAAAGCACGGATAATCATCTCCAAGTCCGGTTTGGAAGTAAAAGCTCTCAATTTGGAAATGTTTCTTAAATGATAAAAGCAGTTCTTCACTAAATGTTTTGAGTGGCAGCTCAAAGACATGGACTGGTCAAAAAGAACACCAATGTTTCTGAGACTGGTCTGGACTGAGGAGCTCAGGGAACCGAGGTGTTGTCTGATTAAAAGCACTTTCTGTTCAGGAGCAATGATCAGTGTTTCGGCCTTGCTTGAGTTCAACTGAAGACAGTTACTGGCTAGCCAGTCCTTAATACGCTCAATGCAATCAAGTAGATCAGCTAACTTGTTAAACTCTGTGTCCTTGAAAGAGCAGTAGAGTTGAATGTCATCCGCATATAAATGGTAGGACACATTAGTAAAGCTTTTAATAATCTCCCCAAGAGGGCAAATATATAATAGAAACAAAATTGGGCCAAGGACCGAGCCCTGGGGAACACCGTGAAGCAAAGATGTGACTTCAGACCTAATCTTGTTTACACATAAAGAGAATGTTCTGTTATTCAAATAGGAAGAACCCCACTTCAGAACCGTACCAGAAAATCCTGTCATTGTGAAGTCGATGTAACAGAATTTTATGGTCAACCGTGTCAAAAGCTGAAGACAAATCCAATAAAAGGAAAAATCTAACTGATTTTTGGCATTATGCCTGAAATTACTCAATATTTTAGTAGACATGTTCTCAAGCATAGCCTGGCAAGCCATCTTAAATATGTGCATATTTAGGCCACGACCCATTGACAGAGTGAAGTCATGGGGCAGAATGTACGATTGTCTTTCAAACTGTCTCCACATGCAATTGGACAGAACTATGGGCCAATCAGAGCAATGAACAACGTGACCTATTCATCGCTATGGGAATTGGTCAACGTGGCAGTGAGTCCGCCATACACCATAGAAGCAAATATATTCTTTTTCAAAATAAAGGACTTAAGTACCTCTATCTGCTCACGGCTCAAATAAAAGCCCAAGTCCAAATCATCCAAAGATGATGCCAAAGCTGTTTCAAATGAGCGCCATTCCTGAGCCGACGCCATCTTTGTAGATTTTCTCCATCGCAGCTCTTGTGCAAAGCTCGTCCAACAAACATAGAGCTCTGTGACTGGCAAGACACAAAACTGTTAGGACCAACGGTAGGCCTGCTAAGTCTACAATGGAGGGTGGCTAGACCGACTAGAAGGGCAAAATCTTTTTGCTACTGCCCCAGTTGATCGTTCTAGGTCGTGTCAAACATAGCAGCTGATGAAAAATCCTCACAAACTGTCTTCTCCCTCTCCATCATCAACAAATAACTAAACGTCATGAAACAACAAAACAAGCTTTTACCCTTTTCCATCCTCCCACGTGAATCTTTCACTGATCTTAGCATCAAGAACCCAGCAGAAATTGAGGGAACTTGATGTTCTTTGATAAAAGAAGCCTTTTCTCCTCCAAGAACATCAAGTCCAAACTATTTTATTACCGTTTTATTTTTTTGATTGATGACACTGAGTCACACAACAGAACAGGACAGAATCCAACTCAATCCAGTCACACCCACATACGTAGCAACGCCCATTAACGGAATTGTTTCCCTTTAGGGTGTCACCTTAAGTGATGACTAATCTCTTCCACTTTTGCCCGCCTCTTTTAATTTCTTAAAAACTATTCAGTAAAAATAAAATCTTAATATAACTTCGGTCAGTATCAAACAGCAGCCGTTTGCTTTCCCTCTCATGCAACAGTGAACTAAGTGATAAAGCTTGCCTCTATTATTAGCTGTGTAATGGAGGACCATGGCTGTGGAGATCAGACAAGGAGACGATAAGAAAAGTGCTTACTCCTACGTTTCTCGCCCTCCTCCTATATCATTTTTGAAAACAGTTGCAGCGCAGCAACAGATCATGCTCAGTTAATGGCCTTAGAATACAACTGCGGCCACTGTAAGACACACTCACCATTAATCAGTCTGAATGTGCATTAAAACTAAAACATTTAACTGGGGAACTGATCTGTTATTCCACCATTCAATCATGTTGCAAAAAATACATCACAGTCATACGTCAAATAAAGAGTTTATAGAAAAAGACTCAAAGCCAGCAGTATTGAGCCCTTCTTTATGGATTATTAATGACGTTGGTCTTTTTTGTTCCTCTGGCTTGTGTCAACTTTCAACAGAACATCTTTTTGGTTTTGTAGAAAATTTCTCCTGGAACATTTTAGGGATATTCATCCTACTCAACATATCCCAAATTATCATCTCTGGAGATGCTCCCATCAATTTTCAATGTCCTTTAAAGATTCTAACGTTTCCCTATATATACTTTTGCCAGATGTAGGACATGTAGGAAGAAAATGAATAGGTATCCTCTTCAGAGGGCAGTCAACTTTACTGCAACAGAGATTTTCATCGTTTAGCTCTATAATCATGATAATATACTCATATATAAATTAAAAAGCTTAAAAACAGGAGCTAAACGGCATCATAACAAAAAAAAATCATCTTCAACTAATGGGACATAGTATGACTGGCCAGATGCCAAATAAACTGTATTGAAAGATTACTGGAAACCATTGGGAATCTGTGCACAATCAACAAAAACAGTTTAAACTGATTCGAGTATATCTGGGACATGCTTTAGTAATAAGTACTTGACTCTTGCTCTATGTGTGTGACTGTGACCTTGTACTTTCTGGTTCCACATTAATCTGAATCATCATTCAGTCAACAGTTATTATGAGTGACAGTTGGAGACTAGTTAAGTGCCCACCCCATAACCAGTTTGCTGCAGCAGTTATGTCCCTGGGTAAGACACTTCAACCACCTTACCTGCTGCTTGGTGATCGGAGGTGAACTGGCGGCGCTCGGTGAGTATGGCAGCCTCACCTCAGTCAGTTAACACAAGGGCTGGTATAGGTACTTGTACTCATGCATGGATGAATGGCTGTGTTGTAAAGCTTCTTGAGGTTCTATGACTGTAGAAGAGGATATATTAAAACAGACCATTTACTATTTATTACCAACAAAACTACGTATGTGAACATTCATCTATTTCTTCCATTTATCCAGGGTTGTGTCGTGGGGATGGCAAACTAAGCAGAGAGGTCCAGGTTTCCCTGTCAAAGCTAGCTTGGTTCTGAGCTGCCGGAAGATGAGGAAGATGACCACCATCTTAAAAAAAAACTCCCATCCACTGCGTTCCACTGTGGAGACCATGGACAGCTCCTTCAGAGGCAGACTGAGACATCCCAGATGGAAAACAGAATGCTACTGTAGGCCATTCATCCTCTCTGCAGTAAGAGTGTATAACTCCTAAAGCCTGATTCATGCTTCTCCGTCAGCTCCGCAAGGGACAGACACGCACGGATTGACGGAAGCATTTTGCTCTCATACTTCTCCGTCTCCTGGGGAGTGTTGCAAAGCAATTCCCCGGCAGGACAGCAGAGGGCGTAGCGCTGTTCTGTGGTATCATGTCATGTATCGGTCCAAGATCGTTTGTTTATATTGTGTTTTTTGTGTACAGGTGCTGGCCAGTAAATTAGAATATCATCAAAAGGTTGAAAATATTTCAGTAATTCCATTCAAAACGTGAAACTTGTACATTATATTCATGCAATGCACACAGACCAATGTATTTCCGATGTTTATTACGTTTAATTTTGATATTTATAGGTGACAACCAATGAAAACATCAAATCTGGTATCTCAGAAAATTAGAATATTCTAAAGGCCAATGAAAAAATGTTTGTTTCTCTAATGTTGGCCAACTGAAAAGAATGAACATGAAAAGAATGTGCATGTATAGCACTCAATACTTAGTCGGGGCTCCTTTTGCCTCAATAACTGCAGTAATGCGGCGTGGCATGGACTCGATCAGTCTGTGGCACTGCTCAGGTGTTATGAGAGCCCAGGTTGCTCTGATAGTCGTCTTCAGCTCCTCTGCATTGTTGGGTCTAGCGTATTGCATCCTCCGCTTCACAATACCCCATAGATTTTCTATGGGGTTAAGGTCAGGCGAGTTTGCTGGCCAATCAAGGACAGGGATACCATGGTCCTTGAACCAGGTGCTGGTGGTTTTGGCACTGTGTGCAGGTGCCAAGTCCTGTTGAAAGGTGAAGTCTGCATCCCCATAAAGTTGGTCAGCAGCAGGAAGCATGAAGTGCTCTAAAACTTCCTGGTAGACGGCTGCATTGACCCTGGACCTCAGGAAACAGAGTGGGCCAACACCGGCAGATGACATGGCACCCCACACCATCACTGACGGTGGAAACTTTACACTGGACCTCATGCAACGTGGATTCTGTGCTTCTCCGCTCTTCCTCCAGATTCTGGGTCCTTGATTTCCAAAGGAAATGCAGAACTTGCTTTCATCAGAAAACATAACTTTGGACCACTCAGCATCAGTCCAGTCCTTTTTGTCCTTGGCCCAGGCGAGACGCTTCTTGCGCTGTTTCTTGTTCAAGAGTGGCTTGACACACGGAATGCGACACCTGAATCCCATGTCTTTCATGAGTCTCCTCGTGGTGGTTCTTGAAGCGCTGACTCCAGCTGCAGTCCACTCTTTGTGGATCTCCCCCACATTTTTGAATGGGTTTGTCGTCACAATTCTCTGCAGGGTGCGGTTATCCCTAGAGCTTGTACACTTTTTTCTACCACATTTTTTCCGTCCCTTCGCCTGTCTGTTAATGTGCTTGGACACAGAGCTCTGCGAACAGCCAGCTTCTTTAGCAATCACCTTTTGTGTCTTGCCCTCCTTGTGCAAGGTGTCAATGATTGTCTTTTGGACAGCTGTTAAGTCAGAAGTCTTCCCCATGATTGTGGTGCCTTCAAAACAAGACTGAGGGACCTTTTAAAGGCCTTTGCAGGTGTTTTGAGTAAATCAGCTGATTAGAGTGGCAGCAGGTGTCTTCTATATTCAGCCTTTTCAGAATATTCTAATTTTTTGAGATACCAAATTTGGAGTTTTCATTAGTTGTCACTTATGAATATCAAATTTAAATGTAATGAACATTGGAAATACATTGGTCTGTGTGCATTGCATGAATATAATGTACAAGTTTCACGTTTTGAATGGAATTACTGAAATATTTTCAACCTTTTGATGATATTCTAATTTACTGGCCAGCACCTGTATATAAGAGACTTTTAACACGGACATATTTGTCTCTCATTCTCCCACCGCTTCAAGCGCTTCCCACCTCTAAACCCACGTTTCCTGTCATTTCCGTCCACAAATAAAACGCTTGCTGCGCATCTTTTCACTCCTCCAGTCACGGGAGGATGAAACATTCATATTTTTAGAGTTTTTCGCGAGGTATTCTTCAAGCTTCTCCGTGTCTGCCGCTAGTTAAACTCGGCTCTCTTTGCAATGGCGGCACTGTAAACAACAACGGCGTCCTGACCAATCACAAGCTTGCGTAATCCGTCTCGTTCGACGGATGTTTAAAAAAGTGGGTTCGACTCCGTACGTACTTGCGTGCCTGCCGGAGCCCTATGCAAGGACGGATAATGGCGTTGCGTGTCTCAGCACTGACGCAGACGGAGAAGCATAAATCAGGCATAAGTTTAAGATGTACTGGCATTATCCTGTTACACAGTAACACCAATGCAATACTCAGTATGTGTTCAATACTCATTCAATACCGGATTTACGTAGTGTGTCCGTGTCTCTTGCAGTATGCTGCATAGTGTTGGAACCCAAGTTTTTTCTTTTTTTATTCTTGGCTTTTAGCAGTCGAAGGTTATAATTCTAGACTACTGCCTATGGGTATATACATCTACCTTTGTTATTATTTTTCTTCAACTTATTCTCTCACTGCTGAGGACAAAAACAGGGTCAACAAAATGATCAAGAAATCTGGCTCAGTGGTTGGGCAATGCTTGGACTCCTTTGACATGATCATCGACAAAAGGATGAAGAGTAAACTTAAGACAGTTATGTCTCTGGAGGATCACCCCCTTCACTACATTTTTAAGGATCTCGGGAGCTCTTTCAGTGGGCGAATGTTAATGCCCCGGTGCTCCACTGAACGTTTTAGGAACTCTTTTATTCCAGCTGCAGTGCGTTTTTACAATGACCATTTCGTATGATTGTATATTTGATATTTTTATATTTTATCAGGACCAGTGAATGTTTTATTGTGTGGATGTGCATGTTGTGTTTACTTGTCCAAGGCAATTCAATTTCCCCCTTGGGGATTAATAAAGACAACGTTGAACCTTGAACCTTAAGTGTTGGTGCTGCTGTAACAAGATAATTTCCCCACTGTTGGATCAATAAAGTCTATTCTATTCTATTCTAATGCGAACTGAACATTTCAGAAGAAATGAATCAAATGTAACAACCTATACCATGTCCTAGTTTTTAAGACAGAACCTGTAAGGAATCCGTGTGAGGTTTAGCGACTCTTGAGCTGATAAAAGACAAAAGCAACAGTAGAAACAAAGACAGAACAGGTTCATCCCCATGGGCTGATGTAACTGTGAATATGGTGATTATCATCCAAGTACAGTGTGTCTGTGCTTGTTCAGAGGGAAGCGTTAGTAACAAACAGGCATGTGAATGCAGTGAGTTTGGATCTGACGGTCGTAGCTCAGGAAACCAAAAAAGTACATGTATACATTTGTTTTTGGAGCACTGATGAAAAAAAGCTGTCAAGGGTCTAAAAAGATGCTACTTGACAGATGCATGTATGTCTGTGTGGGCCTATAGTGTTGTGTGTGTTTTTGTTATGTACTGTTTGCTCACAGTTAGGGATTACATCAAAACTTATGCAGGTGTTTCAGCAAATATGTGTGTCTCAAAGTCGCAAGTGTTCATGCAAAGCCAGTGACACACAGGAGCATATTCCTGCATCTATAATTCATAGCAGAAAACAAAGAAAATACAGAGCCTTTGGATCCAATCAGACATGCTACAGGGGAGCTGACAAGGTTGCTAAAGCTGCAAACAAAATATATGTCTGGAGAGCTAGGACCTGGAGCTAATGAGAACTACTGTGATAAGAAAAAAGAGCACACAGACTGACAACCAAGCATGTGGAACAGGGAATGATATTTTTTGTCTCCTTGTCTCACCACCTTGATGGATTTCCTCTGACCCACATTATCAGGAAACAGACAGTCAGACTTGTAAACAGGTTTGAATGTGACTCATTGCTGTCTACGGTGCAACAAAGGCCCTTTCAACACGTCCCACATTTCCTCTGTCGTGATAGACATCTACGACTGTCCCGTGCTTGCAATGAGGACGATCATGCAATATTTAGAGACTCGAGCTCCAATCAATGTCAAAGGAAAGATGAAACATTTATACCTGTTGTGTGCTGAGATTTGGCTTCCTGCTAGTCTCTAAAGCAGAAGTTACCACAGATTTTTGCTGAAAGAAGTGATTTTTTTAAGAAAAACTGAAGTACTGATAACACAAAGATGATTGCATATCAAATTACTGACCTGACCACAGTATTTGCACATTGCACAATGTGTGATTTTGCGTGGAAAGTGCCTTTTTTGCATTTAAGCCCTGCTTTGCCACGGAATGCATAAAAGTAAAAAACATTTTAAAAAGCAATCAAACGCATTTGGACATTCAGGCTCAGATCCCAGTTGTTATCGCTCTAAATAAAAAACAAGTTTCATCTGAGACACCACTTGTGCAATATTTTATAACAGCAATGTACCACTAAAGCCCTCACATATAGTTTCATTAGCTTTCCCCTACATCCACTTGAGTGATCATGCAAAAGCAGTTTCACGTTTTGAAACATAGTTTCATAAAAGTTAATTTGCATTAAGGCATTTTAGACTCCCGGCTGTAACAACAGTTGTTTAAGATTAAAGGCCTACAATGACAAAATGACTAATTTCTCCTGAAGTCACAAACTCTTTTGGAATTTTGTCATAACATGTATATATAACACACCATCTAAAATACATTTAATGAGCAATCAAAGTTAGTTAACAAAATCCTGCTGCACTGCCTTCAATCATAGGTTGATCTTGTTCATCTGGTTTAAACACTAAAAACCACAAAAACCCAAAAACATGCAAGGATTGGAATCTTGTGAACACATGATCAAAAACCAGACTGACCAACATCTTCTTGTTGGTTGTAATAAGTTTTAACTTGTTGTGTAAAAATTGCAACTTTGTGTTGCAAGGGTCAATTCACTCAGACTGATGTTTAACGCATCACATGTTTAAATTTACACATATGCTAATTTAAACATGAAATAATAAAAAATAAAAGTGAACTTATCTAAAAGCGCAAAGGAAAAAAAAACATGAGACGGGGTAAGTAAAACACATATAGAGGAGAAGAGTTTCACTTTCGGTTTGACGAGAGTGAGTTAAAAAAGACTCTAGGGCTGGGGTAGACAACCCTGGTCCTGCAGAGCCACAGTCCTGCACGCTTTCCAGCCATGCATGAACTTGCAGCTTCTAATTGCTTGAGCACACCTGATCCAGGTAATCAACAACAGGAACAACAAAGGTAGTTTGGGGCGACGGTGGCACAGGAGTTAAGTGCTCGCCCCGTAATCGGAAGGTTGCAGGTTCGAGCCCCGCTCAGTCTGTCGCTGTCGTTGTGTCCTTGGGCAAGGCACTTAAGATTAAAGATTAAAGTCCCATTTAGTCGTCACACGCACACACAGGTGTGTGGTGAAATTTATTCTCCGCATTTGACCCATCCCCTGGGGGAGCGGTGAGCTGCAGACAAGCCGCGCTCGGGAACCATTTGGTGGTTTAACCCCCCAATCCAACCCCTTAATGCTGAGTGTCAAGCAGGGAGGCATTGGGTCCCATTTTTTTTTCAAAGTCTTTGGTATGACCCGACCAGGAGTCGAACCCCTGATCTCCCGATCTCAGGGCGGACACTCTACCATTAACCCACGTTGCCTGCTGGTGGTGGTCGGAGGGACCGGTGGCGCCAGTGCTCGGCAGCCTCGCCTCTGTCAGTGCGCCCCAGGGCAGCTGTGGCTACATCGTAGTTCATCCCCACCAGCGTGTGAATGTGTGTGTGAATGGGTGAATGACTGGTTGTGTTGTAAAGCACCTTGGGGGGTTTCAGGACTCTAGAAGGCGCTATAACAAATACAGGCCATTTACCATTTTAGTTGGAAATCAAGCAGGACTGCAGCTCTCTAGGACCAGGGTTGCCTGCCCCTGCTCGGGGGGGGGGGGGGGGGGGGGGGTGTTGGTAAAAGCAAGCCCAAACTGCTTAGTTTCCCTTTAATATTCAGTTAAATCTTAGCAGGCGCTAGAGAATGTGTAGGAGGCCTGACAGGCTTAAAAAAACACCAATTGCCTTCAAATGTTTAATTAGATAATTCAGTTGTGTCTATTACACAACAGTGTCTCTCAGCAGTTAGATGGAATACAGTTTGCTCAATATTTTATAGGGAAACAATACAGATCACCTTTGGGGAGTAATAAAGGATTTTTCATTTTTATTTACAACCGCTTATGTAACTAAACCTCTAGTGCATCTCAAAAGTAAAGCAAAGCAAACGCCCATCTTTTCTTCGAAATGAAGCAGCTGCTAGTAGTGCTAATATAATGTTTCTGTGTCAGCAGTATTAAATAGCTGATTATACTCATACACTGCTGGGACAAGCTGCTGGTCCTATTCATTCTATGGCCCACAAGGCCAATCTGACACCTGCTTCTGTGAGTCCCAGATTCAACAACTCCATTACTAGTGGGACATGCATGTGCTGTAATTAAAATACAACATATTGCTAATGACATGTGACAAATGGGATGCTCTAAACATCCAAATTATCACAGACTTTAGCTATCAACGTCATGTCTGCTGCAGTTATTGCTTAGACAAATGAGTCAGGGAGAGGCAAGTATGTTTGTTGATGTAAAGAAACAAAGAAATGATTTAAATGCTTAGAAAAAAGCAGATGAATGACTGCAGAGATGTCATGGCAATAACACAAAAATTGGTAGGGATGTGACGGTGACAATGATGGAGGGGAAAAGTGGAAATTCTGCAACTCATGAAAGGACTGCCGCTCATCTGTGCTACTGTGACTCATCCTTTAAAACTGCCGAAAATAGCTCAAAGTGCACACCGTACTCCTCATTTCATTCATTCTGTTCAACTAAACCAGTGAGAAGCTATCAGAGGATCTGCAAAAGAAGGTAGCAGAGGAAGGGGAAGGATGGGATGCAAAACTGCACAACAAAGAAAGTATCGATGCTGTTTAAATATCTGAATCTGAACAGAACGACGGCAAGAAAACTTTCTTGTTCAGAAACAATGAAAGCATCTACAGCAGGTTTTTGTCTAACAGCAGTGTTTCCAGCATGTTTCCTCTAACTAATGTAGGTCACCAGGAATACTTCGAGTAATATTAATAACAACAAATAAAAACTGAAAAATGGAGACCAACACAACAAAAGAAACCTAATCCGCAGTAAGAATGTGGATTTGATGCAGAAAAAGCACCATGGCTCATTCTGAATGGCACCCAACAGAAAAAATACATGTCTGGAAATAGCCCGGTGCTTTCACATTGTCCTCGCACCTCCCACTCTGCTTAGATGAAGGTTGCAAACACTGAGAGGAGACAAATCACATTAGACGCCGACAAAGTCTCGAACCCTGAACTGGAATGACTGCTGGCAGTTTTTCCGTGGGTAGAAGAAGCTCTCCCTCTGTGGACCAGTTAAGAGCTCTTTGTTCAAGTGTTTTGAAACTTAAGCTTTACTCAAACTAATACCAGTACATCTACAAAGAGCTTCAATTTGCCACCAGATATGAATTACATTAAAACAACACTGTCACGTATGTAAGGTCACTTAGAAAATCTGTCCATTCATTATCTTCTGCTTATCCAGGGTTAGGCAGCGTTGAAGCAGCTTTAAAATTGCCTTTTCTAAACGCCCAACACCCAAAAATGAAGCGGGAATCTCCACAAAGCGACGTAATTCAAACGGGGTTTGTGGTCTCGCACCATAAAAAATGGCGTTTCTTTTGGTCATCGAACGCCACATTTTACATCACAACTGTCCACTCGATCCTCCAAAAGGATAAATTACGGCGCATTTCAACAGGATAAATCTTTAAAGTAATTCATGTCCATGGATTCCTTATGGTGTCAACACGTGACATCACTGACTGCAGAACGGTTGCGATATGCTGATGTCTTGGCAAAATCCTGAAAAGGCTGAATTTATATGGAGGCACAGAAGTTGATAGGATCAAGCCATCGGATTTCCCGGTCACGTTTCCCCCTTGCTGAAATTTTCCAGAACTCCTTTAGTGGAAACACAGCTATAGTCCCTCCAGCGTGTCCTAGGTCTTCCTTTGGGTCTCCTCCTTATTGGATGTGCCCGGAACACCTCACCAGGAAGGCCTCCTAACCACACGCCAGAGCCACCTCAACTGTTTCCAGTAAATCACTAAATTTTAAATTATTTTTTCATTTATTTTCAAAAACTTCAAAAGTCCCTAAACTCTTAAGCCAAATGATGACTCGGTAGAGGAAACCAACATCTACAATAACCCAACGTTTGCCTGTTAATTATCCAATCACCCTTCTGATGATTATTGGGAGCTGAAGTTCACTGCAGCGCAAAAAAGAACAATTGATCTTTTTACCCACTCACTAATCTAACATTGTCGCTCAATAAAATATCATCCCGGCGTTTTTGTTTTAAACAGAAAGGACTCGTCTTTGAGTCTTTCCAAATCAGGAAGCTTGACAAAGGAAGCCAGAGAAAACAAAGACGACATCATCTGAAGCGCCAAGACAAACAAGCCAAAGAACACAAATCGTCCGTGAGCCGTGACAAGACGATTATGTCGGTGGCAGCTAGTAATTGTTGCATGATATGGAGAAAAAGGGAGAACGCCGTGTCATGTACCAGGGTCTGTTGCCAAACCCATGCACTCGGTTTTCTATCCAACAACGTAAATAAAGCTGTGTAACCATGTAAAACGTTGTCATGGTTGAATAAAGAATGCACGAACAAAACTTTAGATTGTGGCTTTTTCCTTTGGGGTAGTTGTTTTTAATAGCACCCAGACTTACATCAGTCTTTGATAAATCCAAGTTTACTTCACATTCACCTCTGAATCTGACAGAAAAAGCTGCGTCAAACGCTAATCTTCTCAAAATGCGTGCTGGATTAAGCAAGAAATGCCGCATCTTACAGAGTGAACTTTAACTAAGCATCAGTCTGCCAAGCTTAAGAATAAGAGCCACTCAACCTCTTCAGCCAAGGTCCCCATTTTGAAAAAGTAGGCATTTTAATGGATCGGGTGGGCACGAGGTTGGAGAAAAGGGGAATCGTGGGTAACTGCGTATCGATGTGGTTGTTTGGCTGCGTTAGTGCGTGCACAAGGAGGAGTAACGGCTGCTCTTCACAACTGTAAGGGCCGGTTTTTTCCCCACTCTGTGACAGAGGATTGCCAAGGCAGCCACCCGGTGTCCCCGTGGTATGTAGACACTGTCGCTCTCATACACAGGGAGGGGGAAGAGGGCACTCAAATGTATGTGAGAGACAGAGAGAGAGAAAGATGTAGAGGCCTGAGAAAGAGTTTACAGTAGTCTGAAAAGAGACAATGGTAGATAGCTCTGTAATCACAAAAATGTCTCCTAATAGACAACAAGTAGCCAAAAATAAATCTGTTATCACTGGAGGTATGACAGGAGACGAACACAGTTTTCATTTCCTTCCAGTGTTATTCAGTTCAAGACAAAACACAAGGTCATTTGGAGTAGAACTGGCTCCAGTACTAAATCAGAGGCTCCTTGTTAGATATTCAGGAGGTTTTACAACCGTTTATTTATTATTAAGTAATTGCGTGGTTTTCCTTTTCTAACACTAAAGATCTGATGTGTCTGATTTGCTTTCAATTGCCTCCAAAGGTCATGTTCAACAGGACTTTACACACAGCACAGTATTCTTCCCAGCAGTTCCAATAGCTTTTAAAGTAATTTTTTTTATAATCAGATGTTATCGAGCTCTTTTCAAACAGCATGGACCAGAAGCTCTTCTGTTTGTCTCAAGAGATTTCAAAGTTTTCTATGGAAATAGCTTTATTGCTCATTTTCATTCTAAATGTATAACCCTGTTTGTTTACCGGCTCATAAACTCTAGGGATGGGTACCTTTGACATTTGAATCGATTCGGTACTAATTCCCGGTACCTAGGAATCGATACCGGTACTTAACGGTACCAAATTTAGATACTTTTGAGTGTTTAATATTTTAATTCTCTTTTACAATTAAATATATATTTTTCTCAATATATAACCATATTTGATAAATATCACGATAAATAACATACAACTGTTTGTATTTTAACATCGTCCTTGTAGTTTTATAAGCTGATAATTAAACTGAAGCAAACATCTTTACTGTGAACTAAATTTACTGTGTATCTTCATTCCTTTTGCCGTCCTTTTTCATCTGATTTTTCCTACTGGGAAGTTAGAATTTCCGAGGAGAAAGCGAACGCACCATTAGCTGATTACAATGGTGGCAATGGAAGCTAACATATCAAGCTAACGTTATCTTAAACAGTTTATTTAGCTGCTGGAGCAGATTAAAACGATGATGCCTCACACTTAGATCGTTGTCGCTGGTTTCATCTTCACCCAATCACCCGTCGCATTTAGTAAAGAGAAGCCAAACTTTAGAGCGCGTTCATGTTCTTCCAGTCGGAAATTTGGAGTTCCGAGGAGAAAGCGAATGCACCATTAGCGGAACGGAAGCTAACATATCAAGCTAACGTTATCTTAAACATTTTATTTACCTACCAGAGCAGATTAAGATGAGGATGTCTCACTTAGATCGTTGTCGCTGGTTTCATCATCACCCAGTTACCCATCACATTTAGTGAAGTGGACCCAAGCTTTAGCGTGCGTTCTTTCTACCATGCTGCTCTGTTTACAACTCGCTCGCAGCGACCAACGACATAATGCTCTTGCGCAGCTGTCTAGGCAAGTTCTCGTTATGAAGGACGGGTACCGAAACGAGGCACCGTTTCAAATGACGTGAATCCGTGCTCGGTCGGTACTATGGAATTCGGTCGGTACCTTAAAAAGTACCGAATTTGGTACCCATCGCAAATAAACTCGTTATTTCATTTGCTGTGGCCTCCACATGAATGAATGCCTTGCAAGTAATTTTCTGTGGAAAAAGCTATCGCACTC